TAGTGAAAGAGCGGCTTCGCATTTGAAAAATTTACGGTATGGAGAACAGTACATTGCTAGAGTATTTTGCACAGTTTTTTTTGCTCTCAAGGGTGCCTCTGAAGTTCCCAGAATGTCGTCCGGGTGTTGTTTGTAAAAAAAGTTATTTTAAATGTACCGTTCTTTCTTTCTATACCAAATTTGGTTTGCATGTTAAGTAAAGGTGCTTGTGTAAGGTTTTTGAAGCTGAGCATTGCTAATGCAATTTTTCTGCCACATACGCCTCCAAAAATTCAGCCAAAATGTGTTAAATTTGTATTTTTTTCTATTGCATTACTGCACTTTGTGTGAATATCTGAGCAATGAATACTTACTCAACAGAAGGTATATTCTGTGTAGAAATATATTTAAACTTCTCAAGTTGTTAAACTTAACGACAAAAAATACGGATTTCACAATATCTTCATTTTCGTCCATATTGAGACGCAATTTGCACCATGTGGGGGTGCAATAAAAATCACCTTTATAGCTAACTCCAATGCAAATAAACATTTCTTTTCATGTGACAGGTTTTATCATTACAATTTATTATTTAAGGAAGAACATAATTTTTGAATTTTCACATTCTCTCCTTTTGGGGCCCGAAAAGCAGCAACAGGAGCAAATGAGTTAGTCAAGAAGGGCGAGAGGGTGTGCGAGTTTCCACCTATATTGAACGTGTGAAAATAACACTCGGCTAAAATTTTGTGTTAAGCGGTACTGAGTAGCGGTCGAGTGCATACATGAACGATACTGAGATGTACTCATTTTGAGCACGGGTGTTTTTTCTGACTTTCCTCTTCGGCTACACTCAAGAGACACGATGCAAGAGAGTCGTGACACGGGCGTTGCGTCTATACGGTTAACACTGAATTTATCATTTGTCGTACTGTGTTATCTATACCACTGAATGGATGATTTTGAAAGCGATTCTTTTCATTTCAGAAAATTACCCTTTCACAATACCAAAAGCACCACTCTTGCCGCGAGTATCTGTTGGAAGAACGTCAGTAGTTTCCAAAAAAATGGCAGCATATCCACGGAGTTAATGATGGATAGTGGGGCGAAGCATCCGTCCGTCCATTCGTTCTTGCTTCCGTCCATCCATGCGTGTGCCTGTGTGGCCTCCCGTGTGTCCATCCGCCCGTCCGTGCGTGTGTCTGTTCGTGCGTCCGCACGTTCATCTGTGTGTCCGTCCCTGCTTTCGCTCATGCATCTGCTCCTGCGTCCGTCCGTGCAGCCATCCGTGCGTCCGTCCATGCATCTGTCTGTGTGTCCGTTCGTGCACCTATTCAACACTCCAAGTACCGCCATCTCACATCTTTTAATCATATATTCCTCATATAGAAGCACCGCCATCCAGCGGACATTCCAAGGACTGAACGAGAGGAGGCACACGCACACTTTCTTACGGCTCGCGCTTCGTGTTATACTTTCCACCTTTAACCACCTCGAGTTCATAGTATATACTAGTTCACTGTATTCATGGCACTGCGGCCCAATGCTCGCTAAACCTTTCTAAAACCTAGGAGGTTACGGCCAGCGAGTATAACGTAGCAACCCTTTCGTGTCTTCTGTGCGTTAACCAATAAAAAATTTGCAGCGTGCGCGTTAACTAAAAGCCGAATTCTCCTGTCTCTCATTCCCCCTTAACAACCAACGGCATGTACATTGAGCACTATCTTTTATTGTTCAACAACGCACAGAAGAAATCTCTCACCGGCACCACCTTGGAGGTCAAAATGTAATACTTGTTACACACTACCACTACGGCTACGAGGGACGAACGGGTGCTGCTATAAAGAGCTTCGCCCCTAAAAATTACCACCACACTTTGGCATTCCAGGCAACATTCACACGTTCTAAATTACTTGCATGCAAGCACGGCTATCGGTTCGGAACGTCTTACCTTTCGAGTCCTCTCGGTGCTTGAATCACGTTTCGATCTTACAGAGCTTCGCTCGAAAATGAAAAGTCAAGGTCGCAGTAGGTGTCTACCAGTGCTCAATATACCAGCATACCGTGCTAAGTCTGGTGATTGATCTTTACGGCCGTTGCAGTGTCGTCGTCAGCAGTGCGAAAATTGCGCACGATGAACAGTGCATTGTGTTGTGGACAAGTACGACAGTCTGCCAGCTTTCTTTGCAGAAGATGTCCTTATCTAGACGAGGTTGTACATATAGACAGGGTCTTTGACATTGTGACATGTTTATCTCTTGAGATAACCGTTTTTGTCAGGTCATTTAACGGTGGGAAAAGGCGGAGGGCCTTGTAACACTTTCTCCGACTCGCAGTATTAGCACAAGGTATGGTCTTAGCAGATCAAAGAGCAAAATGAATTGGGATCAATGACGCACCCAAAGATGATTTTCAGGTCAGGTGAATTTCATAAAGCAAGCAGAACTCTCGTTGCCCTCGACTTCATTTATCGCTGCTGTAAACAGCACACTTATACCTCTTTAGTGGTTTCACTCGCTGTGAAAATGTGGTGCTTTGGAGACTTCGCGTTAGGGCCACTCTTGTACTGGCACTAATTGCCCACTGGTGGCCATCGGCACATCACATCAGCGCAAGACGGCATCACATGCCGTCGTCATCTGGTCAAACATGGGCATTACTGAGGAACTGAAAGCTTGCAATGCCTCCGATTCTCGAGGATACGCTGAACCAGGTTAGGAGCGTTTCCAAGAGAATCGGGGAAGGTTAAGAAAAAGGAAGATATTACTCCCGGCTTCTACTTTTCCAGCCTACATGACACATTTTGTGTACTCATGCTCGGCGCTACGGTAAGCACTACTGCTACTACCAGTCACGTGGCAAATCTAATCCCATTTAGCGCGAATGTCATTTGTTGGCACTAGCAAGTGTATGCTGCCCCACAGGGAACCTAATTATGCCATGTCATTCGAGCCATAAAGCTCAAATCTGCCACATTTCGCGCCCGAAGCCCGAAAACTACATCAAGAAGAGGCGGCAATCGCGCTAGCTACACCACCACGTACTTGGATGCAGTTGTGGTCTTTACATGTTCGCAAGCATGCAGTCACGTGAAACTACTCCCAAGGCCGTGTGTCGACCCAAGCACTCGAAATTTTGAAGCGCCGAACCACTCCGATACCGTACATTTGTGTGACATGGGATCCTGGGCACGGGGCGTTGGGAGGGAACGAAGTGGCACATGCCGTAGCGCGTGATCATGCCTACTGGGCTACCCATTCCCACTCCTCAGACGCGAAAACTGCGTCCGCGGAGGCTGAGTTTGTTCCCATCACCTATACTCTACAATAGTGAAACATCATAGGCTGGCATGGAGAGTACCTGCCACCTCATTCGAAGCTCAACGAGAAGGACAACACCATCCATATACTGAGAAGACTTCAAAGTAACACTTTCACACACGGTGCACTGATGCACAGACTGTACCCAACATTACACGAATATCTTTGCCCAATATGTGGCGTACCCCACACCTCGGTCTACATGATCCTCGCATGGCCATGAATATATATACAGACACATTACCTTCGCCGAATACGCGTGACGCCTGTCAAGCAAATAAATACTTTCTCGAAACGTGGGAGGACCACCTCGTCTCGAAAGACCAAGGCCAACGACGACGGTTCGTCACCACGGCCAAGGAGGCAGCGCAGGCCAGAGGGTTCCTGGAACGAGGAGACACACATGGAGCAGCGGGACTTGTACCGCTATACCGTTTTGTGAAATAAACGCTTATTCCTCTTCATAATTCTCACTAGATTAACGAATTGCTGATTTGATGACGTAGTATAGTACGCATGAAAGTTTCAATAGAAAGCTACTCTCAACTTCAGTGCTTGTTTGGGCTCGACGCCGGCCATGTTTCATTTGTGCTCTTTGGGACGGAGCTCCTAAGGATTGACCCATGTCTGCTGTCGTCTCTGGATGACGCTGATGACAATGAAGAATAAGTGCATTCCAGACCACACATTCTCTTTCTGCCATCACGGCACAGCACATGCAAGTGAACGTCATAACGATGATGATGAGTCACTCACTACTTTACTATGATATTCATCATTCTGCTGATAAGTGAGGTACCCACTACACAAATGTAGGGCATTATGTGTGCTGTGGCTGATTAGAATGAAGAACAAGCGCGAAGAAGAATCATTCACGTTCCGTGGATATGCACTGATGATGATGATGCTTGTGGTCGTCACCTTTGTACCGGCTGCGCACTGCGGCATCGTGACAGGAATGACAAAATAAGTGAATTATCACAAAATTGCACATCACAATTTCTTATAACAGCACCATCCATTCTCTTTAATCAACTATGCGCAAGCCACTAGCTACATCTAGTGATCTTATTTCCGAGGACATATACATACTACGCCATCTAGTGAGCAATTCATAAACTAGAGGTGGCTACATGCATACTACAAACGGAGGAGGCAACGACCCACACCTAAGGAGCGTCGCCCCTAAAAAGACCCTATTAGGTCTCAAAACATGTTAAGTGGGATCGTACCAGCACAATTTTTCGGTATATATAAGCGCGGGTGGGCGTGCAAATAATTTTTTCGCACACATTATTCCGGCGTTTGGGCCATGGAACAGGCCTTTGTTTGTGTGCATATCTTTTATTTGCCTGTCAACATGTTTGACAATATTACACGTTTTTGATATTACTACTAACACTACGAATCCGGCATGCGCAATAATTACGGACTACTCATATAAGACCACACCCAAACCATCCGAAGCTCTGAAACGATCAGTGCTCTCGACGGGCGCAATGATCTCGCAGGTCAAACTGATTGGACATGCTTCGTTGGTAACCCTCACTCTTCACACTTCAGACATCTCGATAAAGCCACGTGAATTGGCCGGTGGCGTAATAACCCACCCGTGGCTACGTACAAGCGAGGGCAGCACCGTGACATTCAGGGCATTGCCGCGTAAGTTAAGGGTGATAGCGATAGGGACTCAAAACTTTTCAAGTGGGTCCACCGTGGGACTTCGTAGGCGAGCGCTTCCTTCGAGATGCTCCGACGGCAACGGCCGAAAGATGCGTGCTATCTGCTCAGTCCAAGATGCTTTATCGGCCGCCTCTCATCCAAACGTTGACAGAACGGCTCACGTCTTCGCGTTGATTGCCGAAGGCTGACGGGATCTGGCAGTACTAGTCGTTCGGCTACGCTGAAACATTGCGTGGATCGAAGATCATGCGGTCCTATGCCATTCTTGTCGGCGTCTGTTTTGTCTTCCACGCCCTTGAGGGTAAGTTGATCGATAAATGTGTTATGGCTGCTCAGGTTTAAGAGCCCCAATGAGCTCAAGGACTTCGGGCCTGTTGGTTAATTTTTGCTTCAGTGGTTTGATATATATATACGTCTATGCAAAGCACTAGCGCGATTGCGTATTCTTACTTGCCACAGCTACAGTGAGTGAATCTGGAAGCCTTTTCCTTTGCGGTGCAAAAGCTTCACTAATGATTCGAAGTTTAGCGAGAAACTTAGGCTCTTGAAAACTCTTCCTAAGTGGCCTCATCCGGTACTTATGCCACTTCCTTGGGTTATAGGAAATAAGTCTTCGTGTGTACTTTTCTGGAAACGCCCTTTCGAAAATGGCGCAGCCGAGTAAGGTGAAGTATGTGTTAAAGAAGTGCCAGCTCTGCAGGGTACCAGCAGAAATGTAAAAAAAGTATCACTGAAGCTTACAAAATACTTAGAAAACAACGCAGAATTGAATTCCGGCTGTGGCGGCTGCATTTCTGATGGAGGCGGAAATGTAGGCCCGTGTGCTCAGATTTGGGACAACGTTAAAGAACCCCACGTGGTCTAAATTTACGGAGCCCTCCACTACGGCGTCTGTCATAATCATATGATAGTTTTGGGATGTTAAACTCCACATATCAATCAATCAATTATAAAAACAAAAATTTAGAGTGATGATTAACATAGTTTGCAGTTTAAGTGGCTGTATTACGTGGCTATGGGGGGGGGGGCATAATAAGCTTGAACTATTTTCTAGAATTTCGTAGGAAGATTGGCCCTATCTATTTCAGGTAGCCCTTGCGCTTGTTTTTTTGTGTTTATTCGCTTTTTGCACTGATAAATGATTATTATAAACAGAAAAACTTGGGACTATACCTTCAGTCTAACCGGTTTGTAGAACAACAGCAGGCAGTCACTATCACTCATCACCATATCCACACCACCTATGGTGTTACCCTAACACCTTATGAACGATCTTCACTCAGGGAGATCAAACTTTTTTTTATAAGGGCTGTGGCGGCTGCATTTCCGATGAAGGCGGAAATGTTGTAGGCCCGTGTACTCAGATTTGGGTGCACGTTAAAGAACCCCAGGTGGTCAAAATTTCCGGAGCCCTCCACTACGGCGTCTCTCATAGTGGCGTCTGTCATATTGGCAAATTGAAGTAGACCCCAGGGATCGTGAAAAAACCGCTTTCGTGACGCCAGACGGACTGTACGAATTTAAAGATTTAGCATTTGGCTTGTGCTCCGCGCCTGCTACTTTCCAGCGTCTCATGGATACCGTTCTCTCTGGCCTTAAATGGAGAACCTGCCTAGTATACCTTGACGACGTCATTGTGTTTTCTACAACGTTTGACGAGCACCTTGAACGATTTCAAATGGTTTTGCAGGCCATACGGGCCGCAGGCCTGACGCTCAAGCCGGAGAAATGTCGCTTCTGCTTTGAGGAACTGCAGTTTCTTGGCCATGTCGTCAATTACGCAGGAGTTCGTCCAGACCCCGAAAAAGTTGCCGCCGTCGCACAGTTTCCAACACCATCAGATAAAAAGGCAGTGAGGCGTTTTCTGGGTCTCTGTGCATATTATCGGCGGTTTATTCCAGATTTTGCGCGCATTGCGTCACCTCTAACTCGTTGCACGAGGGATGACGTTGCATTTGTTTGGGGCGACGAACAGGAAGATGCTTTCAATGACTTGCGGCAACGTCTACAGACGACCCCTGTGCTTGCCCATTTTGATGACACAGCCCCTACAGTGCTCCATACTGACGCTAGCAATGTCGGCCTCGGAGCTGTGCTTGTACAGCGCCGGGATGACGAGGAAAGAATGATCGCTTACGCAAGCAGAACTCTGTCACGCACAGAAGCAAATTACTCGACCACTGAAAAGGAATGCCTCGCCGTGGTGTGGGCAGTTATGAAATTTTGCCCATACCTGTATGGCCGCCCATTCAAGGTTATCAGTGACCACCATTCGTTGTGTTAGTTAACAAGTCTGAAAGATCCTTCCGGGTGATTGGCACGCTGGAGCCTTAGACTACAGGAGTTCGATATAACAATGGTGTATAAGTCGGGAAAACGACACACGGACGCCGACTGCCTATCTCGATCACCGATAGAGTCAGCTGCTGCTTTTGATGAAGAGACAGCGTTCCTCGGAATCCTCTACACATCAACCATTGCAGATCACCAGCATGACGATCCTGAGCTACTTGGCTTGATTAATTATTTAGAAGGACGAAGCCAGAATGCACCCAAAGCCTTTACAAGAGGACTGTCGTCGTTCTGTCTGCGAAAAAATGTCCTTTACAAAATGAACTTCTCGTCAGACGGGTCCACCTACCTGCTTGTCGTCCCTACCACTCTTCGTTCTGAGGTGTTGCAAGCGTGCCACAACGAGGCAACATCTGGACATTTAGGCTACACGCGCACACTAAGCAGAGTTCGAGGGAGATATTACTGGCCTAAACTCACCGCTACCGTGAAGCATCATGTTCGGACCTGCCTCGATTGCCAGCGGCGCAAGTCACCTCCAACGAAACGAGCCGGTTTGCTACACCCTGTCCAGATCCCGACAACGCCGTTTGACCAGATCGGAATGGACCTTTTGGGCCCACTTCCCACCTCTAGTGTTGGCAGCCGTTGGGTTATAGTGGCGACCGACTACCTTACTCGCTACGCCGAGACAAAAGCCATCCAGAGAGGCACAGCAGAGGAGGTAGCCCGGTTCTTCATAGAGAACATTGTGCTGAGACACGGTGCGCCATCGATCGTTATAACAGATTGCGGAACCGCATTCACGGCCGCGCTTTTAGATCATGTGTTGGTGCTCAGCGGTACTATTCATCGCTAGTCGACAGCTTACCATCCACAAACAACGGGTTGACCGAACGACTTAACAAAACTCTGGAAGACATGCTTTCAATGTATGTGGACTTCAAACACAAAAACTGGGACGAGATTCTCCCTTACATAACGTTCGCATACAATACTGCGAAACAAGAAACCACACGGATGACCCCATTCAGCATCGTTCACGGACGAGAAGTAAGAACGATGTTAGACGCGATGCTGCCACACGAATGCGACGACAACGAAACGAGTGCTGACGCGTTTACTCAACGCGCAGAGGAAGCCAGGCAGCTCGCACGTCTGCGAATATACCAACAGCAAGAGTACGACACAAGCCGCTATAACCAACGTCATACACCTGTAACGTACGAAACCGGGGACAGGGTATGGGTGTGGACGCCTGTACGAAGACGGGGACTATCTGAAAAATTGCTCAAAAAGTACTTCGGACCTTATCGAGTGCTGCGACGATTAAGTGAGGTTACCTATGAAGTCGTCCCGGATAGTGGTTTTGGGACGTTAAACTTCATAAATCTATCAATCAATCAAACTTTTTATAAGTCAATGCAGGAGAAAACACTAATGATAGAATTTGTAAACGTGACTGAAACATAAAGGCAAAACAGTGATTTCGCCCTGAAATGATTTTTAACTAGTTGGTCCAACGACATGTTTTCGTCGAGAAACTCTTGTACCGTAACCCACGTGGACTCTCTTCACCTCCCTAATGATTCGGTTCATGAAGAATGACGCTAAAAGGAATCGACCACCTGAAAATCTCATCCAAATGCCCAGTGGGTAGAATGTGTTTGGTCAGCTGGTGCGGGCCCATTCATCGCTACGTTTATATTAATTTGATACCTTGCAGCTGCAAAGTCATTTGCTGTAGAATTGTGTGCAGTCCTTTTAACAGAGAAGCTTTTCAAACCGACCGTAAGTCGATGCAGAGCGAACAGAAAACTGTCACCATCAAGAAACCGGCACGCACTCGCTTCGTCCTCTACGCCTACTTCTGCCTAGCCCTCGGAAAACATTCGATTATTTGGCCGACTCGGGATGCAGTAACTCTGGGGCAACACAACGACTACAGATAGAGTGCGAGAGAAAGGAAGAAAAGGAGAGTGAAAAGATGCAGAAGGTGGAAGGGAGAAATTCTTCGTGAGGCGAGATTTTAACCCGCGTATACCCGCGATCTGAAAGCGAGTGTCGTAACAGCCCTCCGCTGTTCGGGCACTCGAGCCGAGCATAGCCTATAAGAGAATAGAGGGTGAGCAGAAGGGAAAAGGAGAGTAGAGAGTAAATCATAGCATAGAAAGAAAGCGAAGACAGAAAGAGAAAGGAAGAGGAAACGAGAGAGAAAGAAAGAGGAAGGCAAGAAAGAGAAATATACGTAGAAATAAACAGTAGAAATAAGCATACATAAAAAAACCAGAAACACAGCGATGAGAAAAAGAAAAGTGAAGATGAAAGAAAAGAAAAATGAAGAGGAGCAAGGATGGTCACCCAACTCCGCACTTCCTTCAGGCTTAACAGCGCTAGTGCTAAGCTGCCCCAAGTTTTAAACACGAAAGTATTTTATGCATGCTGGGGCTTACCAAGACTCCAATCACGTATTTCCGTCACGGAAGTGACGCCGAAAAAGTGAAATCAGAAGATTTAAAAAATGCGGCTGATTTCTTTTTTTAGGATTTGGTAAACACGAAAGTGAAACATGTCTTCACAGAAGTAGTTGAATGTTTATTGTGCAGTGTTTCGCCACAAGACCCAAGCAATGAATGGTACAGCAACAAATTGCAAAGTCGCGCGAACAACGGCAAGCAGAAGCAGCAGCTCGAAACTTGCAGCGCACACCTCAAGCAGAAAGCACGAACAAAATGAGCATACACAAAACGAATGTGGACTAACAGTCACAGCTCGACAATTGAAACGCGCTATATAAACTGAAACGAAGGTGCAACACACCTAATGGCGTGCTTGTGTATACATTAATAACGCGTAGCGTTAAAGAGCTCGTTTCGCACACTTCCGGTGTATGCGTCGGGGTCGATGTTAGCGTCGGTGGTTGGGAGCGAAAAATCACCTTTGCGAGACTAAAAAATCGAGAAATATGCAGCAAAATAAAAAAAAACACCAGGCCAGCGCAGCACAGTT